TCCGTCCGTCCGTCCGTCCGTCCGTCCGTCTGTCTGTCTGTCTGTCTGTCTGTCTGTCTGTCTGTCTGTCTGTCTATCTATCTATCTATGTATCTATGTATCTATGTATCTATCTATCGTACACCAAAATCGTCGTCAAGAATTGTAGCGGGAAAATATTCCGATCTGTAAGTATGGCCATCAACTCACACACAAAAGGAATAATAATGATATATTCAAAAAGGCACAACTACCGAAAACTACCGGTCTTAACTTCTTGATTGTGACAGGTACTCACCGAGAATGCTAAGCAGTGATGCTATCGCTACAAACGTGGGGAAATTTATGCATAAAACCCGCTAAATGAATGTAGAAGGTTCAAAAATAAAAATCAAGATAGTCACGCACGAGTGGGCGGTGGTTAATTAAGGATGTATCCACAAGGCGACAGTAAGGCGCAAATTCCAGCTGATTAGTCAGCAAGATGGACCCCTTTGTGGCTGTTCAGTATTTTTGTTGTCGTTGTCGTAATTTTTGTGTGTTATTTTTTTTTAATGTTGTTTTTTTTTTCTTCCACAAAGCCACATTTAAACTACCAAGTCTATCAATTAGAATAACTGTTACATTGAAAAGGATGTCGGACACACCATCGCCCTCTCCAACTATCCCTTTTGGGGGGGGGGCAGAGAGAAATAGAAAGGCAGGCGCAGACACAGCGTCAGGGTGGGGGAAAGGTGTCCCTCTACGTTCTACCTCCCTTTGAGACAAAAAAAAAAATATAACCAAAATAAAACCCACAACAATGAACAACTACAACAACAAACCCTGACACATACAGAAATAACAGTGGTAAAGACGCGCAGTAGACATTAAGAATCTCTCACTCTGGGTCGAGTCTTCTAAAAAAAACACTCTCATTAATCGCTATATATCTATTACTTTCAACAGGCTTCAAAATTGTTTTTGAGTTTCATTCGTCTGTTTCAAGTTTCAAATGTCAAATGACACGAACACATACCCGGATTTGTCTCCAAGGCCTACGACAAGAGACAGCTTTATTAAAAGATCTCGCTTGGCGCGGCAAACAAACAATATTATATGAAACTTGAGAATCGCGTTTCCTGTTCTACTCAGCTCACTTTCTATTTTCCTGACAACTAGACGAACAATTTTAAGTTGCCGTGCTTAATTAAGGCAATGCAGACATTTATTGGACGACTTTAATGTGGATGATCGGATCGGGATGAAACATTCGACTGCGCATTGAACAGTTGCTACAGTCTACTACTGTCTACACGAACATGTTAAAATTTTGAAATTCGAAATTACGATAGTTTAGTTTTGGTAAGAGTTTTACGGAACTTGCAACTCTATAAGGTCATATAAGTGCCGAAGATTAGAGGTGTTACAAGAGAGTAACAAACACAAAAACGAAGGAGCAGGGGTAAGGACGATAGATGTTTGATAGGAAAAAGGTAGCACATCACACCAAAATTATGATAGGATTCTGCGGATAATATGTGGTTAAAATATACGCACTCCAAACCGCTCGTGGTCAAAAGAGAACTGCATCAAATTCGATACTCTCTGGTGTTACAAGAGGACAAACAGTTCAAGAGAGTCCAATAGAAATTATTGTAATTAATAGTGACGTGAAAATACCCGTCCCTAACGTTTCCCAAAGTGTTGCTAAATTATCAGAAGGTTATAAATATTATCTTTCTATCAGGCCCAGGGTTCTTTTTAAGTTTTGGCAGTAGTTTCAGGGCACTTTTAAGAAAAACAGGTCATGCAAGTGTCAAAGATTAGAAGTGTAACATCATAGAAAACAACATGGAGAGATAAGGAAAATAGGAAAGAAGAAGCAAACCACACCAGAGCACCCGCTAATCACCCACGAATCACTGTTGACCTATCAGGTCGCATTGAGTGATGATAAAAGACCATAAAGAGAGATTTTATTTATCAGCCAGGCCCTGGCGACAGAATATTGGTAGCCGTATAGCTTTCAACACATTCCGCAAAATCACAGAGGCCATCGCCAAGACATGTGAACGCTGCTTAAGACAGTAAGAAGACAAGACAGACTTATACTCCAAAGTACGTTAACGTGCCAGGATGTTCGCGGGATATACGACACGAAGTGTTGACTTAATGAATGTCACATCATCGTTCTACGAGCACTCTTTTAAACAAATTAAGGTATTTTCTGTCGGGTTTGATTCAAATTAGATCCAAAAAATGAGGGGCCGGCTGTAATCAAAAACCTGAACGGAAGCCACATGATAATTAATTCGATAAGACCCTCTGGGAATAGAACTTAGGCATGCAAAGCACGCGGAGAACGGCTCATACGAGTCCCAATCCAGTTCTACAATAAGCTGGAAGCATGCATTTTTTACAGACTGATCCTACAGAGTTCGTGCTTTGTTTCTGCACACCTTTCTCCCCATCCCTGTTTTTTTCCCTCTTTTATATCTGCCTGGTGGATTCGCCCTTAACTATTGTCTGAAAGCAGTTATTTCGAGCGTTCACTTAATTCCGTTCTGGACACGATCGGCCAATTTCGTTATGGTGCACTATGGGTTTAACAAGGTTCGAAGACCCGTAGAATCCAATTGTTCATTTTTCTTTCAAGAGAACAAAAAGGGAATAAACTCGTACCCTTCTGAAACAACCCAGTACCCATGCCTGGAATATAATGCTTCATCTTGCAAACAAAATTCGATGCCATTCGACAAGGCGGTCTACAACCATTCGATGTTGTTGGTCTACTTGACGGTCTACCTCAAGACCATCCCGACAAATGTTCCGCTTGATGGTTTACCAGTCAACTACAGTCCAAACCCTTAACCGTGGTTGGGTTAGATTTGCCTTTATGCTTGGGGTTTAGAGTTGGGTTATAAACTAGTAGACCTCTTAATAGAACAATGGTCAGACTGACCCGGATGCAGACCTACAAGTTGAAGTATAACAAAAACATCGCCGTGGACCGTAAGTGATTGCAAATATTAGACTATGTTACTTCAACATTAATTTTTATAAAAGTATAAGTATTCACTGTTTGCCTTCAATTCCTTGATTACATTAGTCTTCTCTTTTTTACAGGGGCTGTACAGGCAAAGGCGTCAACATTCTCCATCTCTAAAACCGGTGGGTGCCAACAAACTTCCATCGAAGACAATCTTCCAATAGGCCTACATCCGTCGTTTTCAGTTGTCAAACCTGGTAAAACCATCGATCAAGATTCAGTCAAATCAGTGTGCAGCCTGGGTCTGCAGGCACAAATTCACTGCACTTAACCCACAATGCAACTGCTTGAAGAGACAGGAGGTGGCCCTAGTGTCACGTGACCATCTTTTCAGTAAATAACGCCGATTGTGCTTTAGAGACCTGCCTACGGCACACTGGTTTCTGTCATCCTGAATATTAGCAAACAGCTGCGGTCTGCAAAGTGGTTGTTCATAGGCCACCACTGCAGTGGTAGCTCCTACTTCCACCAAAAGGATAGCTGTACAAGACTCTGACTGGGGAGAAGAGCTACCTCGACGGCGATAGTTACGTAAAGTCACAGCAGGAACGTTATATCAGAGATCAGACATTTTGAAAAATCACCCTTCGTCCTCACAGACGCCGCTTTCATCATTACTAAGACCTTCATCACGACTAACAGAAACATCAACAATGAACTGTGCAGACATCATGAGTTAATTCAGCTCCATAATTAATTTGGGGTGGTCACAATGTTTGTGCTAAACCCCACGGAGTAATTCGTCCTTCGTCTCGACTGCCACAACAACTACCACGATAATCACTACCACAAACATCACTCTAACTACCACAAGTATCACCGTCACACCTATCAAAACAAACAAAACAAAACAACAACAACAACAACAACAACAACAAAGAACAACAGCAAAAGCAACAACAAAACACAACAGCGAAAACTCCAGCCCCTACAAAAGCCACAGTCACATCCATCAAAATAACCAACGCCACCACTGCAGCCACAACTACATAACAATCAAAGTCACAACCAACACCATCACCACAACGACAGCAACCACAACCACAACAACCACTACCACAACCACCACAAAACCACCACTTCCACAACCACCACAAAACCACCACTTCCACAACCACCACAACCGCTACTACCCCTTCAACCACCACCGCAAACACAACGACAACCATAAAAACAACCGCACCAACCACCACAACCAGAACAACTGCCACTACAACAACCACCACAACAACCACAAACACCACGATATCCACCAACACATTCACCGTGGCCATCGCAGCCATCCCCAGCACCTCCCCTCCAAACCTCACCCAGCAGAGCATGCTGGCGGAGTGCAATATGAGCCGGGCGGGGCCCGAGGGGGTGGGGGCGGTGCCGACCAACGATAGTGTGGACGACTCAGGGGCTGCCCAGGTCTCCCAGCTGGTCAAATACTACGTCATGGATATAGCAGTGCCTTTTATCTGTGCAATGGGTGAGCGCTGCACGTCTATACTGAGTTTTGGCTGTTTTTGTCTAATTGGTGCAAATCTTTATGTTTGAGTGTGTGTGTAAGGAGGG